TCTTGCTAGCAAGATGAACAAGGTGGCTGGTGTGGGTCTTCCAGGCTGTGTGGCCGTGTTCTTGAAGTTTTGTTTCCTAACGTTTTGCCAGCAGCCTGTGACCGGCATCTTCAGAGTGCAGGAGCACAGACAGGAGCAGTTCTCTCTGTGCCCAGCTAGGTTAGGGACCTACTAGGTTAGGGACCAACGTTAGGAAACAAAACTTCAAGAACACGGCCACACAGCCTGGAAGACCCACACCAGCCACCTTGTTCATCTTGCTAGCAAGAACAAGGACTAACATTTATAGTAAACAACACAATAAATAATGTATCTAGTTATTTTTAAGTGCCTTGCATACAACCACAAAACGTTTCCATGACAATTTGCTCTTGCTGGAAACTGTCTTTTTTACTCTCTGTTAATGCCAATTATTATTCAAAATGGTCTTACCATCTTGAATTACCAGTGAGGAAGTTAAACACATGACATCACCTACAACAATATCAGTGAGCTCAGGTAAGATGGCATGTTGGACAGGAAGAGGCACATAGTCTGCAATATTGTTGTGTTCCGCATCCCAAACCTTAAGCAAACTTAGTCCAACATTCATTGTTCGAAGTACCAAAGTATTGTTAGAGGTCCCTTTCCCAACCTGTAAAAAATCATCTCTGTCGACAAAAATAACAACAAATTGTTATTAATTATTAATAATTGAGAGGACAGAAGAGTGAATGTCACAGACACAAGAGGATGAAAAGTGATATCTCTTATACTTGTCTAACATGCTTCGGAAATGTTTTTCATTCATTCCCAGGCCATTTTTTAACACATTTCTTTAACTCCAGTATGCACATTCTTATACAGAAACTCAGCAAAGTATTACAGAATGTTTAAACAAATATACATAGGATCACATATCAGTCTTGCATTAATTGGGGTTGTTTGTCTGGGGCCACTCATATGTGCTTTTCTTGGAAGTTCTATAAAAACAAATGGGATTTATTCCAATGAAATGAGTTTAATTACTATTAAAAGAACTGGCATGAGTTTTAAATATACAATGCTGATGCATTACCCCAATTTACAGATTATAGGACTGTGCAAATAATCTTGAAAAGATGCTTTAAAGTGCATGGTAGTCTGAATGCAACATTCGCCTATAACTCTTGAAAGTAGCAGTAGCTTTTTCTGGGATCATGCAGCTGCTCTCTGTAGTTGTCAAATGGTCCTGGGTAAACATACGCCTGATTTGTTTATGAAGATTCTCAGTCATCCTGGTGGAATTGTCTGGAGGTTGAGTCCTGGCAACTGGACTTCTTTTCTTTTTTGTTAAAGATCAAACACCAAAACATAAGAAGAGCAATGTAGTATATGCAATCCAGTGCAGTGAGGAATG